ATTCCTAATTAAGAAGCACCCCCTGCTTACCACTAGCTGGAGCACAATGGCTACGTTGAGCACAGCTCCCCCTGTCCTTGACTGCTAAGCTTTTACCCGTTGCTACTATCGCCAATGAGATCATCAATCAAGAACATCACAGTATGCTATGGCAGGCCACCTCCACAAGAAAGCGGGTTTGCTGTAGAAGCGATGGAGGGAGGAGAGCCCGGCAGTAACACACCAAAGCTTCCGCGCTGGAAAAGAGGGAGGCTCAAAGCGAGACGGAGAGATCAGACCCAACATCCTGCAGACTTTTCAGGAAGAAGGCTTAATTAGTGCCACTCACTATTACGCCACCAAAATACCACATTAAGGGCAGTGGCAAAGGTTCCCTAAGGCCAAGCTAAGCTGTGGTAATGTCAATAAGTAACCTCACTGCAAACTGAAGTGAAATTATTTTCTAAAAACAAATAAAATTAATCTAACAAAGTAGTAATTGGATCCTATGTAATTTCCTTCCCCAGTCCTCCTTAGTGAACTAAAATACTGACAGAAACACTAGACAACAAATATCTGTCTCCCTGAAACCTGCATGAGTTACACACATCCAAATACAAATCTAAAAATCCTATCAAAATCCGGTTTGTGACATGATCCAAAAATCTTTTTAAAAATCCAAATTCCCTAAATCCCCTCATCCCTTCATACCAGTCAGCTATTCTCAATCCTCAGGCACACTTCCATTTTCCTAAATTACTGTATTTGAATGACACTGAACTGCTCAGCAGCTCCAGGGACTTAAACTCAGGCAAAAAGCCCCATCCTGCATTCACTATCTCCCAGCGTTTGAAAACAGTCCAATTGTGAACTAATGAGTTCTGCAGACCCTACTTTCAAAGGCCTGTTGATGTTAATTTTGCATGCCGCTCACCAGGAATTAGGAGGCAGGCACCAGGATGGGATCCTAGACTTTTGTAAACATGTTCTTTACAGTCTTCCCCTTGGCAAAGCTACTCTCCCAGCCCGATGCCGCCTCACAGACGGGTACTTGTCCTGCTCTGGGCAAACGCCATCTCCCAAATGTTATCAATGGGAAAAAGAAAACGGTTATCTGCAGGACCTATAACACCGTAACATGACACACAACAGCACATTAGTCTTTCATATTATCTAATTAAAAACACAGTATGTCACCGAGTGGTAGTAAAAGTGTGATTGCCAAATATAAGATACATTTCTCCAGGAAGTTCCACCCACTAAATATAATCATAAAGCCATGGATGTTTTGTCATTGGGTATTTCTAGTTTAAAAGTAAAGAAGAATGTGTATCCAAATAGTTAATGAAATTAAAAACAGAGTAGCATGAATAAAATTAGAAATGAATAGCCCTTTCAGTATGAGAAGTAGAAAAAGATGGGTCTGAGACAACTTACATCTGAGCCGTCTTTTGATCTGCTTATAAAAAAAGGAGGGCAGAGAGGATTTGTAACAAAAAAAACTAAACCACACTGAATTTATGGTTGATTTAATTATTAAATTCAGTGGAAAAAAATGCCAGTAGAGAATGTGATAAAGTGTCTTTTCATCACTCAACCTCAGCTATAAAGAACATCAGAGTGTTGCACAGCATGATTAACATGTTCTATTTTACAACCAAATCCTCTTCAAATTCACTAACAGGCAAGCCCACAATTGCCAGTGGGAAATACTGCAGGGGGTACAGGAGCAGGGAGGTGACCTTAACATAAGACACCAGCGGCCCTCCTAACAGTACCACCTAAACAAGACCTTTCAGGACTGCAAAGTGCTCTGTTTTTACATTAATGGAATGTATAGCTTTCAGCTTTTATGAGATATCTACTCTTCTCCCAGCTCCAACATCTGCAATGAATCAAGTCCCAGCCTCTTGCTTTTGTCCTCGACTTGCAGCGCCCTGCACTGCCCAGCCAGGCGCTCCACGATCATCAGCTCCCCGGAGAACACTGCCTTTTGGCCCCAGCCTACTTCATCCCACAAAAGCGCTCAAGACAGGACCTTCAAAATGCTCTGATGATTATAGTTTGATGGGTAAACATCACCTGGAGAAAGAGGAGCCTCATGCTGCAAGACTAAACATTAAAAAATAAACCATGATACCATGCGGCACTAACATTATAGCAAGCTGCACTTTGGCAATCTTTCTGCCTTAGCTCCCTTGTCCGTCTTTGTTTCACCTTTCAGACTCTTTGGAGCGGGGACTGCTCCTTCCCTGCATCTTCTATTTGGAAACAACACAAGTATTAACTTCAGTTTTTTTATTGCTTGGTCTCACTCATACCACTCAGTGATATCACTTTGCCATCACAGTGGCAAAGTCCCAAGCAATTAGCGCAGGTCATTTCAAATGAAGACAAAAACAAACCTCTACAGAGAAGCAGGATGTTCTCTCTTCCCCTCTGTTTCCACCTGCTTGTTCACAGGAACTGGGCTCACAAACAGGGATTTTACCCGTCTAGTTAAGGCTCTCTGCTCACACTAGGGTGTAGGAACTGCTATCAGTCAGCCAAGTCTTTCTTCCTCTCTAGTAGCAATCTGGTGCTGGCCCTCTGAGATCCCAGAATGAAGAGCTGCAGCTGGTGCAGATGCAGTAGCACAGAGCTCAAGGAGAGTAAAGAGCAAAGAGTCTCGTATGGTCCCCAAACCCTACTGCCTGTGGTCACTTGGCCGTTACACATGATGGGGAGGGAGCAGCAGGCACGAAGCTCTCTGTGGGCTGGAGAACATATCTGCATGGCCTTTCATGAGCAGTATGTCCAACACATGCAATGCTAGCACCGGGTGCTGCCATCTTCTTACATGTCTGCTCCTTGCCCCTTCCATCCCCAGTAAATGCATGCTTGGATATCAACGCTAACCATTACTGAGGTTAAGTGTCTCATGTTGAGGTTCAGGGCATGCTGGAGCGCTCAACCAAAAGTCCCCAAACCACCCTACAGCGATCACAACTTTTCCTTTCCAACAGAGTTCAGCTCATCATAAACCAACAAATATGATTTCAGCCAGAATTTAGAGCTTGGCAAAACACAGATTCATCATAACTATACCCTTGGTGAAACATAATCTCTTCCTTCTACCCTTCAGCTTTCTTTAGATACTTTGGTTTCATGCTTTATGTTGCAACTTAAAAACAAAAGAGCTGCCCATGAGACTGAATGTTTTAAAGAAGAAAAATCTCTGCTCCTGAGAGTCCTGCCACCTTACTTTTGAGTCTCAGCTCTTCTAGCTGAAACTCTGTGTCACAAATGAAAATAATTCAAACCAAAACCTATGGAAATGAAGATGACAGAGCCACGTGACAATTCTAAAGCCCTGTTTGACATCACGTGCTGCATCACTGATACCACCACAAAGCTGGCTGCCAAAGAAAGTTGTGTTCATGGCTTGGTAGAGTCAGAAACATTTTCAAAGGAGGTAGGGGTTTACTAAGTAATTTGTACTCCAGCCCCCTACTTCTCTCATTTTTAGCAACAAACAGGTTATTTATGGGAGTAATAATTCAAATGAAATTTCCATTCCCAAAACATAACAAAAAGATACCTTTCTCATTTGTGCCAGCAAACCTTCAAACTCCTTCAGGTTCAGGGTTGATCCACTATATGACGTGCAGCTGTTTGCCGCTTTCCCTAGCCAATAAATGGTGACTAATACCTGCAGAAGTTAATAAGAATTAATTGAAGCCATCTACACAGTCACTTAGCTAAATTTACTTCCCTTCAGCATCTCTCATTTATTCTAAACTGCACAGCAGCACAAGATTTTGTTATAAATCAGAATTGAAAGGGAAGTGTCTGTCAGTGGCTAACCATAAATACATCGGGCAACTACGAAAATTTAAACAGTCCTACAGAATATGTAACTTAACACATTATCTTCCTGGTATTTTTATTAAAAAAAAAAAAAAATATCAAACTGTCATGTCTGCCTGTAAAATAAACAGCAAAAATAAATCTGAATAGAAAATCTAGGCAAGATATTTGAAACTGTCTAGAAGACACACTTATAAATATATCTGTTTGTAAATCCAATAAGAAAAAAAAAAATCCCTAAAGACTACTAATACTAGTGGTCATTAATTAAAACCTTTAAGACTAATGGAATAAATAAAACATCTGAAACATCTGCCTGCCTATTTCAAGGACAGAAAAGGTAGTTCCATTTTTAATCATTTTAATGTAATTAACCAGATGACATGGGAACATTTACTTCCAGGCTTCTGCTAGCTTAAGAAATGCTTAGCCCAAGATTAATCAAAAGCCATGAGCATCTGGTTGTTTCTACCAGACTAAAGCGGACAGAGTTAGTGGTTTCATTCAAGTTCTGACTTGATGTCTCTCCATAACTCAAAAGTCACTTCAAAACTAGCGCAGAAAAAAAGCCAAGAATTGCTCTTGCAAATGTTTTTATACCCTCTCACTCCTTTAGGTAGCAAAGAAATCTGATCTGAGACTGCTGGTGCTGCGCTTGTTTTAGGGAAGGAGAAATTAAGATGCTCAGGATGGTCAAATTCAACACCTCCAAAAACGCTGATATTTATATTATGCAGGGAAAGCAAACAGTCTTTCTCTGCACCCACATATGTCTCCACCTAAAGCAATGTCTTTAATGGTACCTGTGCAGCAGCAATTTGGACTGGAAACTGATCATCAAAGGCAATTCAGTTCAGTGTTTTGCACAGGTTAAAAATGCCAAACCACCACCTCAGAACTTAGGGCTTTTTCTCATTTAATGCTCGTTATTTCTGCATATTCCATGACATTGCAAAGTATTTAACTGCAGAACAAACAGGAAATATTTTGATGCAGAAAAGATGTGCAACCAATAATAAATAATAGTTGCCTGTCAATTAACTGTCTCAAAAAAGTTAAATAAATGGAAATAGAGTATTTTATGTTTTGATGGGACAGGGCCATATAATTCATACTACATAGCGAACTAAAAAAAACAGAACTAGGAGAAATCCCGAGGGAGCGTTAGGGACAGACATCTCTGTCAGACTCTTCTGCCCTAAAACATGCACCCAGATTCCTTCAGTGCCTCCTCCTCAGTCACATATGCTAGACTTCCGATTAGTCTTTTCTCATCAACTTTCTCTAACATCCCTATTTTTCATTTAAGTGTGATGTCCAAAATCACACACAGCACTCCAGCTAAGGTCCTGCCAGAAAAGGATACAGCATGTGTCACACAGATCCCCTGTTTAAAACCAACTGTGGTGCATAATGTAAAATATATCATATTTTATATATAAATATAGTTTATATTTCGCTTTAGTTTGTAAATAATATACGTGCCATGAAATAACTGAATAACATTTTAATAAAGTTCAGAAATTTTCCCCTTGTTTTTAAAATTACATCCAAATTGATACTACTGTGCCGAGGGAAAGGAGGTGGTTTTGCCAATACTGATTTTTTTTTGTCTTGAAACAACCTTTATCTGAGCTGTTTTCCTTCAACCAGCACTACTCAACAAATTTATGTAAAAAATTCTTACAGTACATGTTCTCAAGTTAAGTGAAAACACTTGCAAATATAGTATTCCTAGCAACAAGGAAACTGTCCAATTCATTTTGCCATTCAGTTCTCTGATGAAGGTTGTGGTATTTTTATTTATTTCTGCTAGCGTTTGATCACTTTCTCTCTTCTTCCTTCTTTAGCTACTTCCCCCCCCAATAATGTTACATTTGCAAGCAATTCTGACTGGCTGCCAACCGAGGTTGCAGGATCATGCACCTGGAAAGCATATATTGCCTACAAGCACATTGTGGAGGATACTTTTGAAACTTTGCCTTTAAAGCAATACATCTGTACAAAGATATTTAGCCAGTGTCCACAAAGGTGCTAAAATGCCAAAGCTGAACTCCTCCCCTGCAACTTTGTGTGCTGGATGCAGAAAGTATTACTCTAATGCTGATGGCAAAGACAGGATGAAGTAATTGGGGACGGGGGGGTGTGTGTGTGTATGGTCTTGGTTTTTTTTTTTTTTTTACCTGCAGTCACGATTACTGGGTTGCAAAGTTATTAGGAAAAGGTCTTGGCATTTCCTAGCAGTTTACAGGGATGTGAGCTAAATATAAAATGAATTTATAGCAGTTTACAGCTGACTAAGGACAGCTAACTTGCTAGGCTTTAGGATAACAACAAACTCTGAGACCAGCAAAGTTCAGCCATTTTCTTTTCTACTTAACAGTTACAGGATCCATATCATTGCTATTAGTTTAAATCAACAAGAAATTAAAGTTAAGTGGAATTAGCCTTTCTGAGAAAACACGCATTTATTTGGAAGAACAACGAGAAAGCTAGCAAATTTGACAGCAAAGATTTGCACCCAGATCTAATGATCGTTCTGCTTCATTTTAAATACTTTGTGCAAATTTACTTTATGCCTATATATTCATGAAAGGCTACCAAAGCGTAGCTTCATGGGTGAGTCAGACCATTCCCAGTGAAAACCATGATGGACAGCACAGAGATCCATTCTTTATCCCTTAATTAAGCAGAGGCAAACATTCTCCATTGTATTTTTATCATAAGGCTGCTTTGCCATAAGCAGCTCTACCAAAGTTTGCAGTAGAACCTGGTTAGGTTCAGAAGAACTTTTCAGTGATACTCATCTGTACTAAGTTTTTACTGACATAATTCTTGCGCAGGCCAAATACAGGATTAACCAGACAAAAGAAACCACTCTAAGTCATGTACTTACATTTTTCAGCTTCCTACTACAGTCAATGTTCCTGGTCGCACACACACACACACAAAAAGGAAAAAAAAAAAAAAATAATCAGAAAGCAGACACACCTTCCAAGAGCATGTATGCAGCAGATCACATTTTCCCTAACAAAAGCCTGCAGAATGCTTCTGCTGGCTGAAAACACATGAAAGCTAAGAAGATGTAGTTCACACATTCATTTATTCATAACGTGGGAGTATTTTGTCACCATTACTTCAATCATTAAATTAGAATTCTGGAAGTACAAAAAGAAAATGTGTTTATAATGGTCCCACAGTAAAGTAGGGCAGTGCCAAAAATATTTCCTTTAAACAGTAATGCTGATTTCTTCAAAAAAGAAGACCGAAGTCCTCACTGCTAAAATGCGTTCTGCAGTAATCCAACAGTCAGATTCTGCTCTGTGATAAATCATGCAACCCGTACAGATTCTGGAAGCAACTGGATATGCATAGGAGACTGAGGAAATCATCACCAAACATTAAGGAAATGGAGCAGGTGCTTCTGTGAAAACAAGCATCACAAAGAACAAAGTAGATGGGTAAAGCAACAAAGATCCTGCCACTTGCAACAGAACCTGCTGTGGAAAACATTTATTTTTTGAATGTATACTCGAGCACTCAGACTGAACATTGGCATCCTTCTCAATTTCACCAACCTTCAAAGGGTGGAAGTTTTATGTTAGAAACAACAAAACACAAAGTTTGCACAAACATAAACACCACTTCAAAATTCAGCAAAGAAGCCATTAAAAAAAAGAATGGAGGAAATGTGTGTTACATTTAGGTGCTGAAAAATAAATAAGAGCACTTCAGATTTAGTATAGATTGTCTCCTGATTATTTATAATGGAATTGCCTTCTACTATAACAGTAAGTCCACACCAGCATTAAAGGTTACCCGATAAAAACAAAAAGAAATGTACTTAAATCTGCGAGAACAGCAAAAGCCTAAATATAGGCAATACTAAACCGAAGTATTTTTGATAACATCTTTTTTAAGCCAAAATTTTATCCACCATTACCCACATACTAAGAAAAATAAAACAGTCCTATTTTTTTCTTTATAAAATAGCAGTGGAAAAGAGTCTTGCTTAACAAGTCAAGAAGAAATTCTTTACAGCACTAGCTCATAACTTTTATAAGCTGAATGTTCCAAAAAAAATAGACCTAATGCATACTTCCATTAACATCTATATGAAAAAAATTGGTTAAAAATGTCATTATCTTAATCATGTGCAATAATGTCATATTCATCCTTTACCACAGAACAAATACCACTTTTACCATGTTTAAAAATAACCCAAAAGTCTTCAAAGGTGGTGGTGGTGGTGGAAATCACCTTCATGCTTTGGGAACTAGCTAGAAGACAGTCTTGAACATATTTCTCTACAACAGTCATGGACTTGGCTTGTACACCTCAACTCAGTTACTCAGCATGAACTTGGACAGTGCTAAGAAAACCTTTGGCTCATTTCCACAGCTGCTTTCTCTAAAGAGTTGACGGGGAAAAAAATCCATGCCAGTGAGACATTTCACATCTATCTAGCATCATATTCAGCGGAGGGCCAAGCCAGCTCCGCAGAGTTTATTACTCCTGGTTTAACTCGCTTACGTGCTGGACAGCTCTCCTTGGAGCTCCATGCTAGTCCCAGCCTCTCAACCTGCCTCCTCCGAGGTACTCCACCATCCTCAACCCCAAAAGATCAAGGCTTCTTATCAGAAAGACCCTTTCTCTCTGGTTTTATATGGAGATTAGAGATTGTTTTGCGACTCTCCTCAGCCACTCATTGTCATGATTTTACAGGATGTCGTGAAGAACCTCTTTCATTGCAATACTACCAGATTTAGAAGAAATACGTTACATATCCCCCTCTCACTGGTATGTACAGGCGAGAAGAACCTCATATTACAGCCAGAAACTTGGAAGGGAGCAAAAAGTGGGAGACCGTTCCTTAAAACAAGGAAAGTGGCCAATTTGATTTTCAGAACCTTTGAATTTTCCCAGACAGTGCTTGTACACCATGAAAACTTGCCCAGCTTCCACTGCCAGAAGGGAAAAAAAAATAGAATGCTGCTGAAATTTAGTAAATTGTTTCCATATACTTTTGTAAAATGGGTATGTCTGACCAGGATTTCGTTAGTGATCTTTTTGGCCAAATGAAACAAGGCCATTCAATCAACTCAGCAGTATTTGCTTGTCTGTAGAGCAATAACTTTTTAATAGTACACATGATAGACCCAAAAATTTCAGGAAAACTTCTAAGTAACACCAATTACAGATTTGGTTAGTTTTATGAAAGTGTGGGGTGCTCTTCATTTTGGGGGGTGGGGAGCTTGATTGCCATTAATATAAACGAGAGAAAAATACAGTTTGACTGGTGCTGTTCCTCTAGTCCACAATGACAAAGTTTTCCCTGAAAGGGACAACAGTTCCTATTTAAGACCTCAATCTATGACTATATGGACTTTGATTCAAGCCTGCTCTGTGTGACCTTAGGCAAGTCAGTAATTCTTTCTGTGTTGGTTTCACATCTATATTTTAAATCACTTTGTGGGGTGAAATGCTGAAAATACAAGCATTGGAGTCTAAGCACCTAGTACCCTTTGCAGTGAGGGATGTGCACATACCATCACTAAAAAGCTGTTGATTAAAAGGAGAATTTAAAAAAAATCACTTCACCCCCCAAAAACCATGAATTAGTTATTAGGAAGGAGAACCTCTTAATATGTGTGTGCTAATCTGTGTGGTAGTAGGTGTGTGGCTTTGGTGAAAAAGTATCTAAACTGTGGCATTTCCAGTTCACACAGACATCCTCAGCCCAAGTATCACATCCCAACCTATAGTTCTTGTTAGAAAATAAACAGACCATGCTCATGTCTGCACCTTGTAGAGTCTGAGAGGCCTACAAATGTCCTATAATGCATCTTCAAAACAGTTTAATCTGAAATAACAGAGCTGTGATTCCCCCCCCGCCCCCAGCCTTTATAGTTCATTAGTTGGACAGACAAAAAAGAATGCCATCAATTTAGACTCAGGAAAACCCCTAAGTCTCACAGAATCTCATTGCTTAACTAAAACAGTATTTTAAAAGAGCTGTGGTTGATCTCTCTGGGAAAAATAACAGCCCTTAGAGAAAGCCTGTTGAAGGGAACAATGTATTCTTCCCAGCGCTGAGGGTTTCCCAAGCCTCAGCTTCCCATTTGCTTTATACAAATGACAATTCTATAGCCTTTTTTGCTCATCCTTAAATATTTACTATTGCATCACACGCATCCGAGGTTGTAACATGCTAATTGCAAACTGCCGTTGTACTTACTTGATGGTTACTCTGTTTGATGTGTCCTGCAGATCACCAGGATCAAAAAGCTGAGATTCTTTAAGTCCCAGCTCTTTGCAGCCTCTTAAGAATAAGATGATGTTATCCTGAAATGAGGCAAAAAAATAAAATACTTTTAACTCTTCTTTATTGAAAAAAATAATCCTACTGAACCAACCTCTCCCTGACTCAGCAACATCTCACAAACAGTTGTATCATTAGTTAAATGAAGAACCAAAGACATTTCCAGTCACATAATTTAAGAAGTCAGTAAATGTTTTGTTTGAAAACCAGATATGAAACAAAACTTTTTCTTTTTTTTTTTTTTATTTTAAATATATAACTGCAACAAGCTTGTTGACTTTTCTCTTTCCAAACCCAGATGTTGGCAACTTCTTTAACTGAAAAGGCCCTGCTAATTTCCCCATCTACTGCTGTAGGCTGCCAACACAGCTTCAGCATGTTGCGGGGCAGACAAGAAAAGGCTGGATTTCTGAAAGGAGCAGGAAGGGTAGATATGAAACAGCCCACCACCACTTAAGCTTGCAGTTTGTTCAGAAAACATTTTGCATGTCGATACAAACAAGCCAGTTACTCCTAATTAACACAACCAGTGTCTTGCCTCTCCAACCTTAACCAGCCAGAAGCCACTGGGAAAAAAGCTAGGTGTCTTCTCCCCAAATAAAATGCTTGAAGCTACACTTTATGTGACCACTGTCTGTAAGAAGAAACAACACCTATTTTGTAACACTTTTTTATGGAGGATTTACACTTTTCAGAGTGTAAAAAATAAAAACCAGTAACTAAGAGAGAATAAGCACAAACTGATATAAGCCTCTTTCAAACCAAATACAAGTGATGACACATGGGTTTGCACTGAGGGGAATAAATCTGTCTGTGTGCATGTACATTTAATATATGTTTTATACTTGCTTACCCATATGCATGTACACTGCCCCCCTTTTATAGAACCAGTGAACCTTTCTTATGCAGATAAATCTTGAAGGTCAGTAGAGAACAAGTTTTTAGATATCTATGTTGCTAGATCAGCAACTGCAATGGTACACATGTGGACAACTAAGGATACAATGTACAGCTTGATATTCTTCTCCCAGGCCCCTCAAACCTCCAACTGGAGGTAAAGCTGCCACGGGAAGAGTTAGAGAGGAGCAGGACCACAGCGTGGGGCACAAACCTCAATTTTTTGTAAAAACTGGAAGCAGAGGAGCCTGGGCAGCGTTCAGCTCTTGCCCACCCTGCGTGACAGAGCAGGATTCGTGAGCAGGGCTCTCCCCACATCTGCTCCCAGGCTTTTGTTTGGGTGGCACAGCCACAGCTCGGCGAGAGCAACCCTGTTTATTCTGTCGGGGCGCAGCGATCAGCATGCTAATCTCTGCAGCTCTCTGCATGCCAACGCTCTCGCACACAAAGCTCGCTGTCACCGGCCACACCACAAAAAAAATACGGACTTGGAAATTTAGAGGAGTCCAAATCTCCCTTTCTTCCCTGGCTGAAACTTAACAGCTCTGGAGGGGAGCCAGGGGGAAAGGAACAGCAGTCAAGAGAGCAGAGAGCCCATAACCCAGAGAGACAGCATCATTCATGACATGAAAAGATGCTTGTAAAACTCCCCATCTGGCTTACTGTTTGCATTATAATTTTTCCAACTGCAATATGAATAACTTTTGTGTTTAGCCTTTGATGGAGGACAGTTCTGGTCACTTCCAAATGGTGGATGGTCCAATGTGTAAATCTAATAAAAATGCAAAAATATTAAAAAAGTTCCTAACAAAAATATACAGAATATACATGACACAGTAACCTAACAGATTTAGAAAACAATCAAAGGAGGGGGAACTCCGGGGATAACTGCACCCATCTTTATGCCAAAAGTTCACATCCAAGTTATGATAAGCAGCAACAAAAATATCAGCCATTTGGCAGCCATGTAGTTTGGAAACTCAGTTCTTCTGTTGATGAAGAAATGCCCCCTTCTCAAAAAAAAAAAACCAAAACCAAAACAAACAGTGTCACCACCCTATGCCTGTTTTTGTACGTGCTTTTATTTTGATGGTCATCATAAGAATAACATTTGCCAACAGTCACTAACACCATCACCCAAACAATTCCTCAGAAAGCTGGTATCTTATATGGGCATAAATAACCATGCATGTCAACAAGATGCAATCAGTCAGCACTGAAAGTTTTTGCTTCTGTTAACAATCTCATAGTTTTATTTCCCAATGGTCCTAAAAATGGCAATTTGTTTAAAAGGATTAAAAAAAAGGCCAACAAAGAAATTGTTTTCAAATGACAGATATTCAGGTAAACCTGCCTAGGCTGCATATCCCCAAGCAAAAATGTATCTCATACTAGTGCAAAACTAAACTTTTCTTGGTTTGCTTCAGTATGGTTGAAATTTGTATGTTACTTCTATTGAGACACAGGAGAACACCACTCCTAAGCCACTAAAAGGAGAAAGGAGTCTTATCATGAAGACCCAGCTCGCGGGAAAGCTTTCTCTCTGGATTACTACACCTTCCATTGGCCAAGTCTTGACTTCTTCAGTTCCCAGAGAATTTTGCTTAATTTTTTTGGAGAGAAATTATAGTTCCATAGCTGTTAGCTGTAGCTACACAATTTTTTAGTTGCCTATTCTGAAGTGCCACTTCTTCGTTGCTGCTGAAGAAACTAAAAAAGAAAAAACCCAACAAAACGTGTTTACAAGCAGCAACATCTATAAAACACTCTTACCTTAAATAAGGGACTGAAAACACACACCTGATGTGCATGTCCAGCTCCTTACAACTTGGCAGACTTAAATAGGTCGTGCAAATAGGTCACACTGCAATGGCAAGGATCGCAGCACGGCCAGCTGCCGTGCCTCAGTTAACAGGGCAGTATCTTTTACAGTGGTCTCAGAAGACACACGACTAGAATTCAGTCCCTCTGGCAGCCCCTACAAGGCACTAACACACCATTCCCTCCATACGTTAAATGGAGATATTGCCTCTCTCTGAGCAGTTACTTGCTGCAGTTGCAGAATTGGAGTAGACGGAGGATGGGTCACTTGGTCAGCCCGTCATTTCCTACAGCCCCAGAGGACATGCAACTGTCTCCTGCTGGCTCCGCTTGGTTTCAGTCCGCACCACTATTCAATGAAAAATCTTCTGGGTTTTGTCCTTGTACACTCAGAGGAAGAGCGAGCTTACAGATTACAGTCTAAATTTCTTTTGCAAATTTTATCTATTTTTTGTCTATAAAATTTTATATCTATAATCTATAGATATCTATAAAATTTTATCTATGTTTTCTCTATAAAATGACATGAACTCTAAATAGGCTGCTTACAGAAGGCAAATGCTTCAGTGTGGTGACAGACAGAGGACACAAGCACGGGATACACTGATAGGTTAAACCCCAACCCTTTTCTGCTTGCCTAAGCAGAGTCCTGACAGTTACTATTAGATCAGCACTATAAGCAATGTCATTTAATTGTAAGCATTAGAAATGCAAAAGTTACTAATGTAAATGTTTTGCTATGCTGAATTTCAGAACAGAAAAATTAACCAACGCACAAAACATTACAAACTCTCAGGCAAAGCCAGCAAGAAGGGCCGGGGAGGAGCAGGAAAGGATGAACAGGAGCATGGGGCACTGACTCCCTGAGTCAGAAGGACGCATGGGAAGGAAGGGACTGTAATGCTGCTCCTTCTCTCACAGCTGCATTTCAACACCATCACCTTTTCATCCTTTCTGGTGTGTAACCTGCACGACTCACCTCTACGAAACCACTCTGCCAGGACAACCACCTGCAAGTAATGCAGAGAGAACGGGAGGCAGAGGGGTTACACCTCCATGAAGGTGAGGGGAGGGAAGATGAAATAATACGCTGCTCACCTGTCATCTTTTTTTTTTTTTCTTTTTTGCTGTTTTTAAAAGACTGATAACCCATGTGCTATAAATATGAAAACGTGTTCACTGTATAGCATTAGGTCATTTTCCTCACACATGATGTGGAGCACAAAATCCTGAACCCTGTAAAAAAGCCCCAGAAATTGGCAGTTGTGCAGGACAGACACCCTGGAAAGCCACCGCAAATTCACACAGTAGCACTGCCAACACACAAGATAGTTCAAGCTAGCGAGAATCAAATATTCACAGCAGGCAAATTCTCTCCATAGGATCTGCTGATCAGATGCAATGGCAAACAGCTTGAATTTGGCCCACTTCCATTCCTTTCATCTGCCACAATAGTATACAAAATATTCTCACTGTATCCACGCTGCAAATCAGACCTGCAGCTTATCGCTGTGGAACCATCATTTGTCAGATGCGCTACTACATGGCCTGGATGAGATATACAGATAAACTCGGGGAAAACAAAAGCAAGCCAAGCTGTATGTCTGCACAGAACGCTGAATAAAATGCCAAGTGCGTGGCACTTCTGCAAGTTAGAGATATTATTAGTTGCCAGCAGCACCACGCTGTTTTGCAGGACAGCTGCAGACAAACAGGTGGCCTTTTTCATTTCTGGAATGCTGAAATTTTCCCTGTTCCAGAATAAATTGGAAGATTTCTAAAAATATATGTGTGTGTATATATATATATATTTCCAAACTGCTTTTCTGAGCAATTTCCGATACAGACTTTTAAAAGCCTTTTGTTTACTCTCAACATTTCTTCCTAATTCCCTCATTTTTCCATTTTATATAAATAATTAGTGGTGATAATTTAGTTATATAAAAGCAATGGATCTTGACTGATTCACAAGCAGATGGAAAGGAAACAGTGAAATATTCAGTTCAAGTCCACCAGGAAAGAACTTTTATGAGAGAAGCTGGGAACTTTTCATATTTTCAGATATATATATACACACACACACACACACACGTATATATGTTAAGCAAATTATCCAATATGCTTTGCTGTATATGTTTTACTACATATATGTTTTACTGTTTATACAGTATACTTTACTGTGTATGCAGTAAAACTACACTTTCACAAAACGTTGTTTTCTGTGACAGATTCCAAATCAATAGATTCAGAAGCAACTCGATCGTAGTCAGGACGCGTTCACTTTGAAACTTTGGACGCTCAACCT